TTCACTAGCTGGGGCCTGCCCTCAGTGTATGAAGGAGGATGATACTTGGTGTAACTTAGGTGAACTGCGGTTTGGGGGAGAAAGGCTGCTGGAATCTGTACTGCTCTCGGGCACTGGCGAACCCGCTGCATGAAAGGAGAGAAAGCTGCAGAAAAAAGGGGAGGGAGGGCGGGTTACGCAAAGCGAAGCGGAAGTATATGATAGGAGGAGGAAGGGGTGTGTACTTCTGGCATGCCCTGCTCCTAAACTTTAGATTAAAATCTCCAAGTTGTGTATATGACAATGAGACATCGGATAGATCATCCCCTGTCTTGTGATAGACTGCTTGGATTCCGAAGTCCAGTGGGAATTGGTAAGATTGTTGTTTGAAGAGATGAGAAAGATGCTTTTAATGACTGAGAAATCATTTCTCGGTGCTACTAAATATTAATCTGCATTGCTAGGGAGTTCTTTCTTGTCATCGACAACACTCTTTATACCAGTATATCAGTATTCCCACATACAGTATGCACAAATGCAGAAACACATTTAGCCTACGCAGACACTCAGGACTTGTTTGAATCTTTGGTGTTCAGTTTGTGTTGTAATTGCCTTTCCAGACAGAGTATGCACTCGACATGTTTACTGTACGTGTTCCTTAAGCAGCTGTGTACTTTTCAGTGGTGTTTATAACAGCAAAACAGAAAGTGCCTTTTTCTTTTTAAGGTACATACATAGGGGCTAATGTGTAAAACCTGAGTATAATATTTGTGCAACAATCCCTTTCACTTTACAAGATGTGTGATATATTCAAACATCATGCAATTGAACTGTACAAGACTCAGCTGAGGACGACGGCTATTTTGCATGAAACCCAAGTCAGCTGGTTCTCCATCTGTCAAAAGATTTGTAATAGTTGCCTATATTTGAGAAACTGAAGTGCGTTCTCGGTACAGTGCTGCATCATTTTGGCTCTAATCCCAAAGAGAATTTATTTGGAAAATTCTGTGTTACTAATTCAGCATAGGGAATCAAGAACCAGGAATTTTATTAATTGCTGCAAATGTGTAAAATACATATTGTATCGGTACACTGAGGTACTTTTGTGTTACTTTTGTGTTGTATCATACAATAGAAGGCTACAGCAAATTTTACACTGTGGCTTTGCACTGACTTTACAGTGCATCCAGAAAATATTCACAGCGCTTAATATTTTCCACATTTTGTTAGGTTACAGCCTAATTCAAAAATGGATTAAATTCATTATTGTCCTCAAAATTCTACAAACAATACCCCATAATGACAATGTGAAAAAAGTTTGTTTGAAATCTATGCAAATATTCACAGCCTTTGCTCAATACTTTGTTGAAGCACCTTTAGCACCAATTACAGCGTCATGTTTTTTTGAGTATGATGCTACAAGCTTCATACTCTCTTGCCACTTCATGCCACTCTAGGACATTCACCGAGTTGTCCCATAGCCGCTCCTTTGTTATTTTGGCTGTGTGCTTAGTGTTGTTGTCCTGTTGAAAGATGAACCATCGCCCCAGTCTGAGGGCCAGAGTGCTCTGGAACAGGTTGTCATCAAGGATGTCCCTGTACATTGCTGCAGTCATCTTTCGCTCAATCCTGATTAGTCTCCCAGTTCCTGCCGCTGAAAAACATGCCCTCAGCATGATGCTGCCACCACCGTGCTTCACTGTAGGGATGGTATTGGACAGGTGGTGAGCAATGCCTGGTTTCCTCCAGACATGACGCTTGGCATTCAGGCCAGAGAGTTCAATCTTTGTTTCATCAGACCAGAGAGTTTTGTTTCTCATGATCTGAGAGTCCTTCAGGTGCCTTTGGCAAACTCCAGGCCAGCTGCCATGTGCCTGTTACTGAGGAGTGGTTTCTGTCTGGCCACTCTACCATACAGGCCTGATTGGTGGAGTGCTGCAGAGATGGTTGTTCTTCTGGAAAGTTCTCCTCTCTCCACAGAGAAATGCTGGAGCTCTTTCAGAGTGACCATCGGGTTCTTGGTCACCTCCCTAACTAAGGCCCTTCTCTCTCGATCGCTCAGTTTGGCGGGGCGTCCCACTCTAGAAAGAGTCCTGGTGGTTCCAAACTTCTTCCATTTACAGATGATGGAGGCCACTGTGCTCACTGGGACCTTCAATGCTGCAAAAAATTTTCTGTACCCTTCTCCAGATCTGTGCCTTGATATAATCCTGTTTCGGAGATCTACCCTTCTCTCTCGATCGCTCAGTTTGGCGGGGCGTCCCACTCTAGAAAGAGTCCTGGTGGTTCCAAACTTCTTCCATTTACAGATGATGGAGGCCACTGTGCTCACTGGGACCTTCAATGCTGCAAAAAATTTTCTGTACCCTTCTCCAGATCTGTGCCTTGATATAATCCTGTTTCGGAGATCTACGGACAATTCCTTGGACTTCATGGCTTGGTTTGTGCTCTGACATGCACTGTGCGACCTTATATAGACAGGTGTATGCCTTTCCAAATCATGTCCAATCAACAGAATTTTTCACAGGTGGACTCCAATCAAGTTGTAGAAACATCTCAAGGATGATCAGTGGAAACAGGATGCACCAGAGCTCAATTTTGAGTGTCATGGTAAAGGCTGTGAATACTTATGTACATGTGATTTTCTTTTTTAATTTTTTTAATTTTTAATACATTTGCAAAGATTTCAAACAAACTTTTTTCACATTGTCATTATGGGGTATTGTTTGTAGAATTTTGAGCACAACAATGAATTTAATCCATTTTAGAATAAGGCTGTAACCTAACAAAATGTGGAAAACATTAAGCGCTGTGAATACTTTCTGGATGCACTGTAGCACTGTGTTGAAAGGTCTTTGTCTCTCATGACTATTCACATGAACCTCATTTAGATAAATGTAAATGATTATCGCAATATTTTAAAATACTCATTCAAGAATGCATCTGAGCACAACTAAATTCAATAAGGCCACATGAGAAGTATTGCTGAAGCATTTTTATGTGGCTTCCAGAATTAAATAGTAGCATCACATTTATTCGTTTCTGAAAAAGTGCACAACCTACCAAAGACACCTTAACAACACTGAGAAAAAGATGCACAGATATTCTGTTTTAACACAACACTAACTCTAGCAACGAGGCGTGAACACTGACTGATAGTGCTGTTCTTTAGAATGTATGAAATGTTTTGTATAAAATTATCTTTTTATATTAATGGAGTTTATGGATGTTGCCTTCTGTGTGTTTTTATAACTGACGTCCTTCTTTTTGACTTTTTTGCTGGCAAAAGAATTTCACCTTTAGCAACAGAAAGATATAATAGTAGCATTAACTATAATAGACAAAAGCCGAGTGTTATATTTTGTGTACAATTTTCTACATTTTTATACAAATGTGTTATATTTTACCAGTTTGTGAATAAACCTGTTCAGTTTGGGACGGAGGGAGAATGTTTGTCAGACTTTTTTGTTTCTTGCCAGCCGTCATAAAACAAGCTCGCGTTTTGTTTTATTACGACGCTCACTGATACTTCTTAAACTGTTGTTAAATTTCAAGGAGGTTTGTTTTAGGCTCACGTGATGTCCTTATCATTTTAAGATGAATAGTCAAAGATCAATAAAACAAGTTTCCAGATAAAGACGTATAATGGGTAAAATGCATTCCCTGCTTGTTTCTATGTGTGCTGGATTAATGCATTGACTTTTTCCTCCAATAGAGTGCAGTACACCTTGCGAACAAGTACATATTGTTTACAGTATCTATCACATCCATAGAATGAAGGATCATAGCATAACTTTAATGCTGAACTTCCTACAAATCACCCCCTGTTTGTAGAATAACAACCTGTTTTGCAGAACTGTAATTAACCCCAAAATAACTCAGTCCAACTAAGTCCAACCAGCTGACCAAGCAGAGGATATTAATCCTGAGTCATCCTTCCCTTTTCCTAATTGGAAAACCCCTCGCTGTGAATATGATTTGGACCTGCCTGTCATGGCAGCCTATTATGCTACAGGCAGCTGTGGTCAGTGGCCACTGGCACTGTGGGCTGCCGAGTGCTTTACGAAGGAAATCGACACAGTTCTTGCTTGTAAAATATTATCAACATGACATATCTGCTTTAAAAGGCATTACATATGAGACTGGAGGGAAAACTGGAAGAACATACATGAGCCAAAAAGTTCATACCCTTCTTATAATAGCTCACACTTGGGGTTTCCAGTCTTTTCAGCTCCTGGAAATGAAGTCATGTCTATTTGTGATCCCCACATCACAAGACATGGTGATGTGGAAGTAAGTTATGAGCGTCACAACCAAAGGCTGATTTTTTTTCTGCAGAATGAAGCAAAATTAAAGAAAAGACAAGAAAAAACATACAGTAATTTTCTGTAACAAGTATTTTCTTTTCTCAGATTTATATTGGGATGCCATGCACTGCCCCTCCATTACTGCAGCTTTCCCCTGCTGTAATCATTTCTCCAGTTAATGCTGTTCAATACAGTATCCCCTCCTAATGTGTTTCTAATATAACTGATGGTAGACAATTTCTGCAGCCTTACTTCCATGCAAAAATGTATTTAATTAAAGTTAATGAGCAGCTTCAGCCTTGACAAATCAAGTGGCAGGCTTCCAGTTTCTGTACTTTTAGTAGAAATCTCCCTAGACTGCAGTGATAAAGAAACACTGCCCAGGGAAACACAGAGGGACGTTTATTCTAAAAAAAGACTTAAGATATCCCCTTGATTTACAGTAACTGACTAGACTTTTCACATTACCTTTCTTTTCATGTCAAGTGTCATCAGGAAAAATGTTAGTCAAGCCAAAGTTGTTTCAGTGTTCATATACATGCTATTGTTTTAACTAAGCTTTGAGACTTGACTTGGTAAACCTACCCTTTACTTTCAAGAGTAACTGCTTGCAGTTAACAACAAACAGTCATGGTCAAAGATCACTTTTCTAAATTGGTTAGAAGGCTGTGGCCTAAAATTGCTGGTAACCATAATAACATTACCTGCATGTGGCCTTAGCAGCCAGTCAAACTAGCTGATTCTCACTTTTAGTGGACCCAGCCATGGGTTAAACAAACTTTTAAAAGTACATGACCACATCCACACACCTATGGTAAGTGGTAATACCCTCATGACAACATCCTGATGCAGAGAGTAACAGACCTCTTGACACAGACTTTGTTAAAATACATGCTTTGTACTGTCATTTAGCTAATCTGCTATGTTTAATGAGCTTAATTGAACTAGGAGTAACTTTTTAAGATGGCATCACTGCCATTACTTTTTACAGTGTTGGCTCCTTTTGGCTCAGGGGCCCCAGTGTGCTCAGACTGTATTGGCATTGCGGTGTTGTGGTGTGGCATGGTAGACTCACAGCAGCCACTACAGCCTGGCAGTGATGCTAAAATTGACTCATTTGCTCCAGGAAAAGGCAATGGGAAGCTCTCTTGTTGGACTACAGAACTGCAATCTGACATGGGGTTGTGATCTGAAACAATAGCTGAACCTCCACACAGCAGAGTCAAAAAGGGTGTTTGCAGGAGACGCAGCTCAATTTACAAGTTACATTGTTATTCCTACATGCTGAATACACACATTTGGGAAACTAAGACAACTAATGCTAAAGCTACTGCAAAGTAATAATAATAAAAATTAAGAAGTCACCCTTTATATGTGTACAACACATCAAACACTGAAATGAGGTTTACAAGCTAAAAGAAATTAGAGGTATGATATGTTGATGTAGATATTTGTTTTATGTTTACGCTGTAATGTAACTCCTAATTTAGTGCAATAACACTTTCACAGCTAAAGCACAATGACCTTCACTGATTCTTTTCCACAAACATTTTGTCAAGCATGATTTTGTCTCCTGCCTCAGGCTAAAGTGATTGTAATGCTAACTAATCACAGAATTAGAGAATGTGAGTGGATGTGTATTTCTAAACTATATTTTTGAACAGATTTGTGTCAGACTCTGAGGTAAAGATCTTATAGACAGCACTTGTGCCAAAGATACTACTATCGACTCTGTAGAGTTACATATGGAAATGCCAAAATAAGAACTGAGTTTTTCAAATGCAAAGAAGTGGGCAGCATAATGACTTTTCTTTTTCTTGTCTTGCCATTCAGAGGGAGGCTTTTCTTTTCTTTTGTCACTTAGGTTGGCATATAATTAACTCCTGCTTAATATGCTGTTTAAGGGCTTTTCTCCCCATGCGAGAAGCTTTGAACCCATAGACCACAGACAGAGACAAAACCCCAGTGGGACTGCTTCCTCCATGCTCCTCCTTGTGTCTGTGTCTGTGTGTGTGTGTGTGTGTGTGTGTGTGTGAGTGAAAGAGAGATAGTTGTTTTACCCAGACAGTACAAAACTCAAACTGTACCACCACAGCATTGCTGTCTCCTCATTACACAACAAAACCATTAAACCAAAATAAGAATGTCTGCATTCAATCTACCAAACAGAGTCCATCAGTAATCAAATGAAGAAACCCTTCACACAGGTCATACTTCTTTATGTGCATTTAAAAGAAGTGCATCAGAGTGCAGTGGCTGATTTGTGTGCTTAAACCCATCAAAAGAAGCTCACACCTTACAAAGCCTACAGGTCTAAATTTCAGGTAGCATGTAACAAGCACCATACCCTCAAACTAATATGTACAGTTCAGTTAAAATAGGATGAAATTTGGAATGAAAAACATATCCATTGAATCTGAATGCCATGTTGACACATTTGAACATAACTCTAAAACCAGCTCCCAGGACCCCTGAAGCACCTCTGCACCTCTGTGACCCTCATCTGTAGCAGTTTATTGCCCTCTCCTCAGCCACCTCCTCTACTCCCTCTTTTTCTCATCTCTCTCCTCTGTCCATCCCACCACAAAGGGCCGTGATGACCCTTCTGTCCCTCTCTTTTTTCCAACCTTCTGTCCTCCCCACCCCCACCCCCACCTTTGGGATGCTTTCTCTTATAGAATCCATTAAGAGACAAACCCCTGGCAGTCACGTTTGGTGAAGGAATGAAGGGGGTGTATTTTGTTTTTCACTATGAGTAAAGAAATAACGATAATGTGGAGAGAAGGTCTTATATAAAATATGACCTTGAGCTTATGTCCTGTTGAAAGGTGGAAGCAGCTGGAGTTGTATTCATAAAAAAGGATCACTATTATGTTTGTCTTAACTTATGAAGTTAAGACAAATCCACTAAAAGTGTTTAATTATAACAAATTTTAAGTAATTAGTTACTGCATGAGGTCTGCTTTTGTCTCATAATATTCCTGGGACTATGTGATGATGCTCACTAAACTGTAAACCTAAATTCAAACTGGGTCCGTTTAGGTGATCTGTTTTTTACTTCTCTAATCTGTTTCACGGTGTCAGCTCTGATTGTTTACCCCGCACCGACACACTATGCACTGTGAAACCCCGCTCGCTTGTATTATCTCGCAGGGTTGCAAAGAGGTGGGGGGCACTGGAAAACCAAGGTGGGGGTCCTGAACGCTACGTTAGAGTTTTATTTCGGATGTTTTTTCAGTTGCAAAACAGATTACGGTCCAGGTTGCAGCACAAAGGACTGTCAATGCACCATTTCCTACAGCCATCCTCGGGTGAATGGGGCGCAGGACGGGGTCCTCTCCAGGGTACTTGAGCGCAGGTGCGAGGTGCATAACAGTCGAGCCATAAAGCAAGGAAGGTGGGGTAGGAGGCGAAGGCCAGATACCTGTTCTCATTAACCTGTAGTTAGTAAAATCTCCTCGTGGTGAACACGTAACAAACTGGAGTTAACAGCCTAATTTGCATCTGGTTTAAGTGTTTAAAGTTGAGATGCTGTGTGTGTGTGCGGGGTTTCTGCAGGTTGCAGTAGCCTGTAGATGAGAGATGCAGATTCTCAAGTGAGCAGTGAGATTTTCAGTTACAGCATGAGACTCTAAACAGCGTAACTGTCAATCCATTGTAAACACAAGAGGAAAAGCACAAACACGCAGGGGCGACGAGGCTCTGGTGGATTCCCTCTGTGAAGAGGAGGCGCAGTGTCGCGAATTTGCGACAATATTTTGTGTAACATTAAGGCTGTAGGTCTTACCAACGCTTCTTTGTAAACGAAGAAGGTGAACGTTTACGATGCCAAGACTGACCTCAGGGGCCAACCTCTCTGCTGCTGACATCACTCCTCCTCACGGCTCGTCGCCTCTGCTTGGAGACCCATCAAGGTCTGAGGCTCCCGCTGCGTCCGAAGGCGATGCCTCAACACTATTCATTCTCAGGCAGGCTCTCAGGACAAACACACTCGCACGGCTCTTTGGGCAACTTTTTTTGGGGGGAAACGAAATAAAGCGTGACGATGACAGAAGAAAGTAGAGGCAAACGAAGGAAACAAGCAAACCCCAGGAGAAACCGAGGTAAGAGACGTGCAGCAGTGGAAAGTTTGAATAAGTTGGTAATTGATGCAGTCAGATGCTGCAGCAGCGGACTGAAGCTCTCAGAACGTAATCGATTTCCTCTGGAGTTTGTAGACAATCGATCCGCAAACACTGTATCGTCACTTCACAGTTATTTAGTGCACAGTACTTAAACTACATTGATTTTTCAGTTTTTGCATTCGTGGCCTGTGATTGCCTTGCACCATAAATTGTAGGGATGAGTAGTCAACATTCCTCAGGTTGGCAACCGCGTGAGGATATTCTACCTGAACACATACCCGAGAAAACTGAGAAATAAAAGCTGTGACGTAGAAAATCTGCAAGAAAAAGTGCAAAACCTGCGACCGCACGGGTTTGCGAAACTTCATCGCCCTGACATATATCTTTCTTTTAATGAAAGGTAAATCACCGATGATTTACCCTCTTAGTGAAGGCAGAATCAGATTTAACTAATAAATCATTCAAACAGATCAATAAATCAATCAAACAGAAAAACCTCTCACAGTCCGCCAGTGCGTCTTTGTTGGCTGCAGTTTTATTGCTGTTGAATGTTCTCTGAGATTTACACTTAAGAGGATTTCCTCTTATATTCTATATTACATGCCTATGCACCGTGATTTGGCATTAAGTTTTCACATTTTTCTTTAAATAAACATTTTAAACAGAACGTGAACTGCATCAGAAGTGATGAAAGTATAACTGATTAGAGAGGATTATCCACTGGTTTTTCAAATGCAGGCTTTTCTTTAACTACAAAACCATAGCTTACTTTTATAGTTGTCAAACGAAAACATAGTGTGGCTAAATACAAAAGCTTTAAAACATGAGGAAATTATTTAAAATATCCTACCATGTGCAAGCAGTTAATTCTGCTTAACTTTATTTTTAATCTTTCTGTAATCTTTCATGTCTGACATTATCAATCACCTTATCAAGCATATGAGGAAAGAATGATGCCACTTATCAGTTTCAGTGAATGCACTTCCTACAGCAGGGCTGTGAAACTTGTTGACAGCACGCTGAATTTAGGGACTTTGTCGAGACTGTTCTACATGCATGAGGCAGTGCCTTGTGTGTGGTTCTGAACTCACAAACTGAAGTAAAGATAAACACACCTGCACATGGGTACACATATAAACGTTTGTTCTTCTATCCTGCTGATGAGGACTGAAAGTTTATGCTACGATGACATCCTGCTTCCCTGACCCAAAATCCAAACTATAAAATTATTCACATCATTGAACGTTTCTCTAATTCAACTTGCACAGCCACCTCCTGAATAACTTCAATAAAAACCATCAAACCAGTTGGTCGTTGGTTCTTATTACCATTGCTAACTCTGAGAGACGAGACAGTCCAAGTAACTTCAAAACAGTGCTGATTTATTCAAAGGATCACAGGTAAAATTAACATTACATGCTCAGGTATCTTGCACCTCCAAACTGCTCGCAGGCAGATGTAAGATGAAAGCCCCTGAACCCACCAGGCCTATACATTATATCCCCTCGGTTGGGCTAGCCCCATACTACACAGAAACGTCAAACCGAGATGTCTCTGTTACCAGCTTTGCAGCTGGCCATAGCAGTAGTCAAAACATGAAGCAAATCAATGTGTGTGTGTCTGTTGATTAAGTGGTGTGTAACTAAAAACATTCTCACACGACTTCTAGTAACATGTCGTGACTTAAACATAAGAACATATTATGGCTAAGGCTACAGTTATACACATCATAATAATAATATTACACACCCTGTCTGCTGACAGTCATCAACTCTTCTCTCTAGTTATCCTTGACCAGATGTACCCTGTAGAAACTCATAAGCATGACTAAGCATTTAACAGTCTAACTAGACATCCTATCTCCACTAAACATTTCTAATACATAAAGTATTTATCCAATTTCTATCTGACTAAAAATACCTAACAAACCTTATAATAAATCTTATTTCAAATTACTAGTGGAATGTGTGGTTGATGAGAGTGTTTCGCTGCCTGCTCTGTATTTAATGGAAAGTTGCTGGGTGATGCAGGGGAAGCCATGGGATAACATTACATTTACTCCAAAAGCAAACACAACTGCAAATTCAGAAAAAGAGCACAGGGTTAAGTTGGTCACTAAACAAGCAAGAGCATGTGCACATTAGCTGGGTTTATTCTCTGCTCCGTAGTAGTTCATGAAAGCCTTGGCAACTCAAGCAGTAGATTTAACTGTCTGTGATCTGGTGTGCAACTGCCACAAACCTGCTTGCTGTTAGGAGTCCGTCTACATATATAGTTTATTTATTTACTGTAAGTGTTTCCTCATTTTACTCAGAGAAGTGTGAAGCTCCACCAAGTGTCGCCAGGGTGAGAGCCTCTCTGGTTGCTTAGCATTAACGTGTACTCACATGTGCAAGCGTACACACACGCACACTCTCACCTTTGACTGTCATGTAGCAGTTTGTCGACCAGCCGCACTGTAGTTCACAAATCAACAGTATCACACTACTGTGAAAGCTATCAGTACAAAAGCAAACTTTCTGACCAGGCCCTGTCACTTATCAGACTACCATCAAAACCAGACCAGTTCCTTTTATTTTTGCACTGACCTCAGAGACAAGATAAGTACAGTCAGCGTTCAGGAAGGTAACGGTAAGATTTCAAGGAAGTTCATGTAAAGAAAAAAGAAAGTGATTATAAACTGATGTGCAAGTATGACAACTGTCTTTAATATAATGCTGAAGACTGTTATCTTTAGCTGATCTATTATGAGCCGGGACATTAGTTCAGGACACTTTCTCTTATTTGTCTTTATGTATCTTTGCTTTATAAATTGATTCTACATGCATACCTTTGCTGATGGCATGCTTATACCTAGCATATGCCACACACATCTTCACAAGTCTGTATGTGTGTAGTCCGCTGCGTGTAAATGGTTATATCAGTGTGGAAATGTATTAAATCTTTGTTGGATTTGGAAGGTGCTGCTCTGGAGGCGGCTGTGCAATTGGGGAGTTAAGGGTCCTTGATAAAACCAACTGAATCTGGCGGGGCCGCCTCACAAGACAGCGATTTAAGAACGTTTTCCAAACCAGAAGAAGGAGAAAAAAAAACATAGGCTAACTTTTCTTCTCTCTCCAAGGCGCCTATTGATTAAGTCTGTGTCTCCTCCAGTAAAACTGTCAATGTTCACCAATATGAAGCAACGTGAGGAAATTACTGCCCTTCGTTCCTGGCAGAATGAAAGCAGTTTTGGGCTTGAAGAAGGAAATGATAACCTGTATTTACTGGCTATGAGTGAGAGATTCAGGTTTCAGCGAGTGTGAACTAATTAGCAGGGCACTGATAGCCAGCGGTTCAACAGCCCCCATTCAGGCCTCAGTGCACACTTCATGTATTACGGGCTATTTGAAGCCTTTTTCCTTATGAATAGAGATAATTGTGAAATTGATGCTTTTTGCTGTGCTTAAAACTTTGTTGTAAATACACCAAAACTCAATATCATTTTTAAAATAGAGGAGATGATGTATCTAACAAAAAGTGTGCTGTAGTTATAATAAACTGAAGAATTTATTTTAGCTTTTGCAAAGCAACTTAAACCCAGTCTTTACCTTAATGAATTTCACAAAACGCCCCCGTGTTGCAGTAAATGTTCTTCTAGAGGCAACACTATTTAGATTCCAGCTTCCAAAAATGTTGTGTGTGCTATGCGTAGGCTTTCCCCTGCTCTCGCCCTCAGTGTGCATCTTCACTAGCATGACTCAGAGAGCTGATCACACTCATTCAAACCTTGCTCTTGAATCAGGAGTAGAAATGTGTTTTAGACATATTTAGTCCGATTGTCTTGTGCTTTGTGTTTTGTTAGTCCATGAAAACCTCGCTCTGTTGTCGAGATGATGTGCCTTTTTAAGAGAGCTTTCTCTCTCCCTGTTTCCTTCATCCCTCTTGCTCGTTTTTCTTGTTTTTTCAAGTGCCAATTTATTTAAACTCCTTTCCCCTTTTCTTCTTTCTCCTTCATTGATTTCCAAACCCCAGCCTTTGTATGCAGCTGGGGCCCAGCTGTGTGTCTGTGACTGCATATGTGTGTGTATACATGTATGTGTGTGTGTGTGTGTTTTTGTGGGTTTTTCTGGCACAGTGCTGCCACAGTGAGCATAGCACACTGTACACAAAGGGCTCAAGCAGCAAAAAAGAGAGGGAAAAGGAGAAAGAAAGAGAATAGGGGGAAAACACTGGAACGAGAAAGACTAACATGCTTGTACTGTACTGAGTGGAGGGGCTGGGCCTATTGGACCGGGCCTACTTTAACTGCAGATCTATCTGCACTCAGGGCTGAGGGGTGGGGACCGCGAGACAGCAATGAAGAGCCTAGGCACCAGAGTTTATTACTGGGACTCTTCAAGAGACACAGCTCAGGCATCAGGGCCAGTGGGTGGGAGGGACAGAATAGGAAAGGAGAGGAAGATGAGCTGATGGAGTCGACAGGGTTGGAGACAGCAAATACTGTTCTTCAGCATGAGAAGACAAGAGATGGAGGGGCAGGGATAGAAGAGGCAGAGCAGGCGACACAATGCGGCATAATTTAAGTGTTTCCTCATTTGCTCCTCAACAATCCTCAATGTCCCCAAAGCGGCAAGTGCCACAGATTTTTCCCAGCCTAGCTCTGTGTTAATGCCAGATCTACACATCTACACAGCAATAAAGGGGAATCCCTTGATTGAGTCCCTCTGGTATTTTTCACATGTTTATTCAATTATTGCACATTGTGATGTTTCAGATGGAGCCAAAACAGCCCCATGTTTTACCTTTGTTTCTCTGCCACAGAAGAATTGTGGGGGGGGGGTCTCTGGTATATTAACTCTTGCTGTTTTGAGTTGCAACATAATGTGCACTTTCTCTCGTAAATCCATGTCATCTTCTAATCATAATTTGATCCCTTAGTAGATGAGTGAGTTACTAGGATCAGTTCAGTTGTCCTGATAGAGACACAACTTTACTAA